GAGAGACTCTCCACTGGAGAGGAGCTCGTGAAAGATCTTCTATCTCTAAGCAATGTGAATGGCACCACGAATGATATTAAGATTATCAGAACGACTAGGCAAGTAGCCTACATCAGGATAACGAAGGACATCCGTAAGCAGCTGCCTGACCGCCCTTATGTTAGTTGTAGAAGGGTAAGATTGATGGATACTGGCTTTGTTGCGGTTTGTTACCGCTGTGGTAGCCGGGACCTCAAGCACGACTTCAACTTGAAGTCGTGCTTGAGGTCTTCAAGAGTTATGACAAGGACCCCATTTGTAAGATCTGCAGTTCGTCCGACCACTTAGCCAAAGCTCGTCCCAGAGAAGGCAACAGCTATAAGGGGGAGAGGCTCTTCTGAAGAGCCACTGCAAGATCTGTGATAAGGATGGTCATGGCCCCTTTGACAGTATGAGATGTGAAAGCTTGATAAGACTGTCCAAAAAGATAGCAGAGAAGCAGCGGTCAAGCAATGTTTATGATGGTTCCTATTTATGACGAGAAGGGCTGGCTTAGCATATTGTACTATTACTGGACTATTCTCCGGCTGTGCCCCTGAGATTTTATGTATATGTGAAGGTGGCCGTCTTGATTCTCGATGGTACTCGTCTTTTCTGCTGTCGGTGGCAGGGCTTATGTACTGATCAGGGAGGATATTATTTTTAGTCGATCCTTCTCAGCTCAAGATCTAGTTGTTGAAAAGGTCGGCCTCATTTGGATTCTATGCCTCTACTGTGATGCTACAGAAGACATGGATGTTACCCTTGCCCAGTAGAAGAAAACTTGGTCTGTACAAACGACAAATGGCTGATAATCACGGATAGTAATGCTTACAATGAGTTATGGGGTAAGGGCCCTTTCGGTAGTACTCGGTAGAAGAGTCGAGGAACCAAGCTGGCTCGATGGGTTGAAGAAAATGACGTTAGGATCTACAATGATCCCTCTATGCCAACTTTCACAAGGCTAGCCCCTGGGGGTGGTATTAATGGCTATCAGACATCTTCTATTGACGTCTGTTTCTCTTCAGCTGTGAACATTGTTGATTGGTCAACTATCGGTGGTGTAAGGCCCTATGATCATTTGTTGATCGAGGCGACGGTAGTGATTGACAAGGCATTGATTAAGGTTAAGCGTGTATATAGCCTTACTAAGGATAAGATGGCTTGCTATGATGACCTGAAGCTGGAGGCTTCTGACTAGTATCATGATCTACCGGACTTTATGCTAGCCATGGACGTTGACCCCGCGATTGTTAAGGTGGCTGATAAGATCCGGGCGGACAAAGACCGCCATCGTAGTGAGCACTCACTAGAGGTCAACCTGGACTCTGCGGATTGGTGGAGCGACAGGCTGACTATGCTTCGTAAGGAGGTTAGATCTCTTCAGCGGACATCCTACAACACTGACTGCGCTACTGCTTGGAGTCGGTATAGGAAGGCCAGGAATAACTACAACAAGGAGATTAGAAGGACTCGAACTCACTGATTCTATAACCAGCTCTCTAGTGAGCGTGATTATGGTCGCATTTTGGAGAAAGGGGCGAAACCTAAGGCCACCCCCTTCTTGGATCTACACCAGGTGGCATGATGAGGTTTTCAGGCATCATACGCCTGATCAGCCGTGTAACGATCTCTTGACTGAGCTGTCCTCTGACCAGGAAACCGAGCGGGTACTTGCGATGATCGACGACTCTCTCTTCGAGGAGGTATGGAATAAGTTGGAGCGAAAGAGAGACTCCTCTTCGGGATTAGACAGTATCGTTTATCACGGGGTAACTCGTTAACCCAACATTAAAAAGTCAACCCGGAGCGACGCTTCACCAGCGTGCGTCCGGAACGCAACCGCCTTCGCCAACGCCCGAAGATACCCACGGTTTCACCGAAGCAGAGCTTCCGTAGGCCTCTGGACGAGTCAGCTCCGAGACTTTGTCAGATAATTGCGTCTTTCTCTTGTGCCTCATGTCGCCAGCTCCGCCCAGCCTTCCGGCACAGCCATCACACTGCCGCCAACGCCACGATGTCAAGCCTTTTGGCAAGCACGCATCTCTGAGAGAAGCCTCTCCCCGCGAGAGCCTCTTTCGAAGGCATTGAGCGCCGTCCCTCGGCCCATGCGTCTCGGACAGGTCTCCGACTCAAGCTCCACGGGGAGCCACAGCGTCGGTTGCACGACCTGTGTTCCGAGTCGAGCTGAGCAGCGCCAGCTCGGCAACAGTGAAACGCTGGTAGGACTCGTCTACCCCAGCACCCTTATGGCATGCGGGGAGGCGACCACTGCCAAGAGTACACTGGTGCTCGCATGGGAGGGATAGAAGCTGCCGGAGAGGACTTTGGTCCAAACGGCTTAAGCAAAGCCTTTGATCGCAAGCGCGACATGAGCTGAACTCCCTCCGGTGAAGGAGCGTCTCTCAGTTCAATATCACTCTGTTGAGTTGCGGAGGGGAATGTATCGCCCTCAGAATATTTGCTCCCCCTTCGTTTGCCAATCATGGCCGGAATCGTCCAACCCGACGAGGCTGCTCGTGTGGATGCGGAGGCAATGGTCGCTGCGGAACAAGATCAAGAGGTTGGGGATGTTGAGCATGATGAACTCGCCGGGGCCGCCGCCGAGCTCCTGGCCAGCCTCCCACTCAAAGCTGCGGACTTCCTACGCAACAATGCGAGCCTGGCTGCGCAAAAGGATGTTGCAGCGTGCCTCATCAAAAATGGGGTGACGAATGGAATACTACTCCAAGACTTGGATAAGTCCGTGTGCAAGACACTTGCCCGGGATCTCACCGATGAAGCTAACCTGGTGGTGTTGCGAGCCCCTGCTGGTGTATGCGCCCACGAAAAGCGACGGTGAACGAGCTCCCAAGAGGAAGAGAGATGAACAGTTAGAGGACTTTGACGAAGAGGTCCTACTGCTTCGATAACGCCAGTTTCAAGAAAAGTATGGCACTCGCGTGGCAGGGCGCTTCGTGGTGAAGCCAGCCACCTTGGCGAAGATGCGTGTGCGGAGAATGGTCCCCCTATCCGCCTGTGACGGTGCTTCGATAGTGACCCGTACGGGGACTACTCATACATTTCTACTCGACAAGACTACGGGTACCTTCCGACTGGGCGAGGAAGATCACAAGCCCTCTAATGACGCTACCTGCCAAGCGGCCGACTTCTTCTTGCGCCTGTCCAGGTGGGGCTTATCGGCTTGCCTGCTCGGCCAGATGACCCCCACCGAAGTCTTGTTGTACACCGCCAGAATAGCTGAGCTTGGACGCTGTACGGGTGTCTCCTGTATGCAAGCGGCTGACGCTGAAGTTCGAGCCGAACTGTCGATGGGTAGTTCTGACGATGCGTGGGGCAAGCAACTAACTGATGGCCACCAAGATATCCTGTCCAAGCACAGGCAGAACGGGCGAGCTTCAATAGCTCTCAATAAATCCTTCCACCCGAGTGGTCATAGCTCGAGAAGCTCACACTCCCATGCCTCTACAAATCGCCCGAGACAGACTGAAGTCTGCAGGCAGTACAGCCGTGGTAATTGTCGCTTTGGTCGCAACTGCAAGTATCAGCACATCAAGCAGCAGGAGCCATCAACCAGGATCAAGTCCGAGGATCGTCAAAGTACGTCGAAGAAGCACTGAGCATGGGTTCTCCATCGCTGCTGATGGTTTCCCTCCTTTGCCGCCTTATCGGGCAGTCGCGCTCGAACTTTCCTGCACTAATCTTCCTGCTGTGCTTTTTCTCTCACTTGATCCGCATAGTTAACGATTAGAGAGTAGCGTGTGGCTCTAAGCTTCTTGCGCTTGTTAGTCGGGGGCATGGAACAAATAAAGTTGTGGCAAACTAAAAAAAAACGTGCCTCTCTGTCAGACCCGCAAGCCCGCGAAGAACCACTCCAGCAGAGCCCGACACCCACGCCGAAGATCACTCCGACTAGTACACAAGTGGGTCAAGAACATGTCGACACCACAGCCTTCGAGGACCATGTCATATACTGTCGGCGAATGGCGGAACAGCTAATGGAATCCACCAAGGAAGGGCATCAAGGTGTCAAAGATGGAGGGTTCAACGATACGGTTGAAACCGAAGCATCTCTTACTGAAGAGCAACGCTACTTTGGCAAGCTGATAGGGAACATCATCTGGGAGGAGGCGCGCAGCAGTGGCTTCGTGGAAGTATTCCAACAAGTTCAGGGTATCCCAACAACAGAGCAAATATCCCAGCTAGAGACTGCTAGCGCGGAAGCAACACGGAGCTCACGGGAGAAAATATCGTCCGCTCTCAACGTGCCAATCCCAGCGAAAAGCGGAGGCAACCAAATCCATACGGCCCTGCTCGGCGCCATGATCCGCGCTTTGGGGTGTCCGGACAGGGAATTCGAGAAAACGGCATCTGACGGAGTCCCAATAGGCCTCAGCAAAGATATTCCTTTCTGTCCGCTCTATCCACGTTACGAACCACGCAGATACGACCTCTACCCCATCTTAAAGGAGCATCGCAACTATGGGTCGATTAAGCCCAGAGGAGGCCACCGAAGATGGGAGAGACTTCGTTCGACGAGCGGCCATTCCGAAAGGAGAGACTTTCGCAGATGGTGTGAGGATAATCGAAGACTATCGACGCAACAATGTCAACAAGAAGGCCAATATCCCCAACAGGCTGTTGGGGCTGTTGGCAACAGCACTCATTTGCCAAACATCAGAAGTTTACGAAGAAAGCTGGGAGCCGTCTCAGATAAGTGGCCTTCTGAAGAATTCAAAGTTCTGAAGGTTGACCTGAGAGGCGCGTATAGAGCAGTCGGAGTACACCCAGTCGAGCGGAAGCATCTAAGCTTCGTACACGCCGACAAAACTGGTAGCACCCGATTCTTTGAGAATATCACCTTACCCTTTGGACTCGCCTGTTCGGCCTATTGGTTTACCCGATATGCTACTGCAGTCCAGCGGTGTCTCTCAATCACTCTAGGCGCCTTTCTGGAAACTCTATGGACCTCGGCACGCGACGACGACTCGCACGTCCCGTGCGCGGGAATCCAGTATGTCGATGATGGTTTCTGGTATATCGTCGCAGCCCTTTACACGGTGGCGAGCACAATCATATGCCTATTTTGGAGCATCGTCGGATCTGAAGTTGGCTTCCAGAAACTACGTGCCAACAGCCGGTCTGAATCCTGCATTGGCATTCGGGTGGAAGCCGATAAAGAGCCCAAGTTCTGGATAGAGGACCGGAAGATTGCTGCTATCAAATCGCTACTACAAGGCATCGTAGCCGAGGGCTCTATATCTGAGAAGCGCCTGTCGAAGTTGACCGGTAAACTCTCGAACTTATCCCAACTACTCTCCTACATTCGACCTTACACGCAACCCTACTACGGGCTCCTCAGCGTCTTGCGTTCGAGAGCCTTACCGTTCGCGAAGTGCCCTCCAACGAGCGAAATCAGTATCATCTCCGCCTTTCTATTGAAGCTCATTGCGAAATACCTTCCTTCGCATCCAGTGGGCCCCGTTCGACGCAACATGCTTCGTAAACAGCCTATCATTTTGATAGCGGTCGACGCGTCGCTCGCGGCATTGGGAGGTTTCATTACACTGGCTGGCAGAGGCACGGCAATTCACCATCCTGCCGTCGAATGGTTCAGCTGCAGTCTGAAGACCGAGGATCTAGGTGTTTGGCGTTGCCTACTGAAAGACAAAAGTCTGCCTGAGGAGAGCAGGAATATGGTGGCTTTCGAGCTTCTAGCAGCTTGTCTTGGATTGCGACTAGCTGAGGAGTATGCGGGACTCCAGAAGCACAACGTCGTCCTGCTGACTAACAACGAAGCCACAAGAGGTATCCTATCCAAAATGTATGCGAAGACCCCAGCTCTGGCGAAGCTCTTACGATGCATGACGGAGACTCTGGCGAGTCTGTCCGACCATAACTTCTTCCCCACTCGAATTGCAAGCGAGCACAACATCGTGGCCGATAGAATATCGAGAGGCCAGCTGACGGAGGTACCAGCTGAGTGGGAGAGGGCCGAGATTGACCTCCGTGCGGAACTCCACCGAATGAGTTAACGCAACAGATGCTCGCTGATGAGAGTTGGACTTAGTCGCTAGACAACAAGCCTTTAGCAAGCCGCTGTAGTGTATTGATGAACTCTCGCGATGCCGTTTCAGTCTGTACTCATATTTCACTCGTTTTGTCGAACACAATCTTGTTGAGCTTCGATGAAGTATGCCGTCCGGGTCAATCTTGAACGTTTCCCTCGCAAGCCTCCGATGGACCAATCGGCCGTGTGAAAACGACGAGGGTTCGGTCGAGTCCGCTCGTGATTAGTCGGAAGTATGACAATATCGATAAAGGTTTTGGCTTGTAATCCAACCGCCACTTATGACAGATAGACGACAGAGAGCGAAGCGCTTTCTACATGATGCAGCCGCATCGGGCCTCGACATCCGCACCGAAATCGACGGGATGATTCAGGGAGCTTTATCGGCATCCTCGAGGAGAACGTACGGTTCTGCCGAGAAGTTATTTCGAGACATTATATGGGGAGAGAGTGAAGATGTCCCGAGCGATATATATCCGATCACAGGCGAGATGCTCATTATATTCGCATACGTCATGATGAGGGTTGATTACAGCAGCTCTACAATAAAGACCTACGTGGCCGGACTAAAGACGAGGAATTTGGAATATGGCTGTAAACTCTCGCTCTTGGAAGAAGAGCACCTGAAGAGGGCCCTCAAGACGGTAGCCAAGAGAAACCGTGAGGGCCGACCAGTGAACAAAATGGAACCCATAACTGTAGCAGAAGCTCGAGCGGCAATGGCTTGCTTCCTGCCGCGGGTGCGGGAGGTTAAAATTTGCATGCTCATATCGCTATTCCCGGTGATGAGAGCGAGCGAATGTTTAAGTCTCGATACCAGCGACATAACATTCAAAACTATCGACCACATGGACACCGTCCTCATCACCATCAAGGAGAGCAAATGCGATCAAGTTGGCCGAGGAATCGTGATCAAAGTCGGCTGCGTCCGGGAATCAACCACTCGGCCATGTGGTGACACTCTATGCCCCGTCCATCAGCTATACCAGTATATGTACCTTGGATACAGATCTGCCACCTTATCCACGAGACCTCGGTCACCCCTATTCAACGATTCAGTTAACAAACTCCGCCTCACATATGCGGTCTACTCCAAGAGGGTAAGAACCTTAATCTGCTCAGCAACGGCCAGAGTGGACTGGACCGACGTCAACACACATTCCCTAAGACGCTCTGGTGCCTGGTGGATGTGGATGGCCCGCATCCCCCGCGTAAATCGTCTACAATTCGACCGCTGGGCTTTGGACACGACGCTCGAGAAGTTCTACCTGACCGGCGTCACCCACACACAATCACATAAGTACGCTAAGGCCATGGTCAACGGCAAATACGAGGGAATATGATCCAGTCCGATAGGCCAGGCTTAAGACGGATGGTGACCGCCTGAACGAATCCGGGTTCCGCTGAATCATGGAACGGCTCTGTGTTGCAAGTATCGGGTCTGGGACGGGAAGGAATCGGGTTTGTCTGCAACTTCGTCCCCTTGCTGTTTTAGCAAGGCTTAGAGTATAGTGGGGCCTGCCAGCAGTGCCCCCTTCTCGTCTCAAGTCGTGCGACGATAATCGGACAAACCTTAACTTCCTTTGAGATGAAATCTTCGCATCGCTGTGAAGAATTTTCATCCCCAGACCCAAGCGCCGCGATCGAGTGACCTTTTTAATCTGATATTCGAGGGTGTGGACAAGGCCTGAGATTGGGCTTAGAAAAGATATTTCGTCATATGGTGTGGCTTGGCTACTTTCCAGAACATGGTAAAAACTTGGCTTTGATTTCTATCTGAGAACGTAAGGGCGACTTGAGCCAAGGGGACAAGCTATGGTCCTATTGGCATGTCCTCCTGTCTTACAAAATACCTGGAAATGCTGATGGTTGCCCTCATCAGCCGATTTGAGAAGCCCAAATTGGCTGATGTTGAAGGGAAGAATACTACCCCTCCCTCCTCACTCTGACGTATCTCGTCGCCTGTCCCTTTCCTATGGGTATGTTGAAAGGAAGAATACGAGCGTGGCTGTCCAAAGGGCATCTGAGGTTATGAAGCAGATGACTAATGAGGGTAAAGCTGTTATTGCCTCGAGGTTTGATATGCGTGGGGTTTTCAATAATGCTCGTCATGATGTGATATGTACTACAGTAGGAGATATGTGCGGAACTCCGGTCCTCTACAACCTGGTCTCGAGTTATTTACACCGGTGAAGATGCTTTTACAAAGGTAAGATGAGGCTCCCTATGTCCTTTTGTGGACCCCGACAAGGAGGGTAGTATCACCCTGTGTATTACCGAGGTGTTGCTAACGGACCCTGGAAGAGTTTTATCAAGCACGTTTTTTCACGCGAACAAAAGGAATGAAAAATGGAAAAAAACTTGGTGACGGATGATTATACTCTTCTTTGGGAGCGGACATAATTACCTCAAGTGGTTTAGGTCCTAAACTTTAGGAAACTTATTCTTAGTCATGCTTCTGAATTGATGAGTGATCTATCAAAACTGCCGGGCGGGCGAGGTTGATGAATCTTCGAGTACGTGGTTGAGTACACTCCGGCCCTCAAATGATGCTACTTGTTTGCATAGAGGGAATATAAGAGTAAACAAATGATATACACTTGAATGAATGAGTAACTGAAGCCAGTATAATAAGACGGACTCTAGGGCTACTTCAGTGAATCATAGTTGAGTTACACACTTACAGTTTATGTTGGCACAGTAAAAACTCCTATCATCCTGAGCATAATAATCGTGAATCTCTTAACTCACTTCCGTCCAGATAGAATATCCATCGCACTGGACCGATAGTCCTGTGCTTGCCATAGAGGACAGCATAGACCGTTGGAGTACCATCTTACCATTAGAATCAGTTGCCGTGAAATAACGAGGGCATGATGAGATGGTGGACGTCACCCGTTGTTGCGGAGAAGTTGTGTTGACCTTAGACGTCTGCTCTTCGTTTCTATAGTACTCTGCCAGTTGTCCCTCTGTCAGCGATGCAGGCTTGATGAGAGTGTTGTGGACAGTTCCCAGTGGGTCGCCATGCAAGCTTTCAATGCGTACCAGATGCCTTGAGGATGTCGGGGACTGAGATGGCATCTCAGAGATGCTGAGATGCGGGCAGGTCCGACCCATCTTGCCATGAGCTTCGTACCAGAGACCTTCTCCAGCCATATTATAGTGCCAGGTGCAAGCGAACAACTTCGACGACGTTTACTGCGCTCAGCGATCTTAATAGAATGGCCTCGTACAAGTCGCTTGAGGTACTCTCGATAGGACGCGACCAGCTTCCCAAACTCTTCCTTCTTCTGAGTCAATGTGTCGCCGTAGTCAGGGGGGTCACAATGGCCTGCTACAAACCTCGCAGCACTTTCTGGTGGTTGTTGCCCCGATACACTTGGTGGCGGTCTTACCCTGTACATGAAGGTTAAGCCGTTAGGACACGTATCACCGACTTCGTCAGATTGGGTTGAGTTGAGTGAGTGGCATATCATAGGGAGTAGTTGATACCAAGGTACCGCACAACCTCCGCACCGGAAAGACCGTATAGCCTCGAATAGTATCTGATGACACCTCTCGAGGAAGGCTCTTCTCTGAGGAGCATTGGGTGGGTCGATCAACTGCTTCAATCCCATCGACTGACAGAATGACGTGAAGCCACGACCGATGAAGCTCTTGTCGCCATCTGACTGACAATATAAGGGCCATCCAAAATGCCAGCAATGTGCAGAAAACAGCCGTATGGACTCCGCTGAACTCTTGTTGCGACTCTGATAGAACATGGAGAACCGCCGAAATGGATCATATACATGTAGGCAGTACTTGATGTTCTCGTCGGGGACAAAGCTATGGCTCGTAGGCCCCAGCTTAGGCTCCGTCGGCAGATTTACTCGGATACCAGTCTCATTTACGGGACCAATCCAGTCGATAGACAAGACAGTATTGGCGTCAAGGTAGACCCTGCTGTTCAATAGGACCTCCTCATCCACCAATGACCCATGGCCCTTGGCTTGCTGGCAGGCTGGACACGATTTGCAGAAGGCTCGAACGTCCCGTCGAATCCCCTTCCAATAATAGAACTCGGCCATCTTCACATACTGGAACTTAGAGTTCCGGTGACATGAGTAACCGTGGAAGCTGATGAGGACCTTCTGGCGGGCCCCAGGAGGGACAAGTAATGATCCCTCATTGTTGGGCTCGGCGTCACGTCCGATTTGTAGCCTCACTACCGCTTGGTTTTCCTCCGTGTTGATGCAATACAAAGCCTTGATCTTGCATAGGTCGGCGGCGTTGAAGTTCTCAATGTCGATCTCCTTGGGCGCCTTCTCGAGGTCATTTTTGAGGTAGCGGATGAACCGGCAGAACGGGTCCTCTTGCTGCTTGGCCACAATCCAACTATAGACACTCTCCGCCAAATCTAGAGTGCTCGCCTCCTCGCCAGATTCAGTGATGGTGAAGACGTCCTGGGTGGGATCGGCTCCTTCCGAGAAGGTCGAACCCCCCTCAGTCAACGAAATAAGCCATCTTTGCGCAGCTTCAGAGTCGAGCTCTTGCGGATCGTAACTTCGCGTGTACGGGTCAGCCAGGTTATTGGCCGACCGATGCATCACTCAAACTTCGGGAAGTCCAACTAATATCCCTTGCAATTGCTCTACGTTAGGCGCAGAATTTGTTCACATATTTTTCCTGGAGCGAAGTGGATAATTGCACTCGCAGTGCATCTCACGTGATGCATCTGATGCTAATGAATCTGGCGACATAACCAAAGGTAGATACAGGTATCAGATGAGACTACAGTTTCGGCCGACAAGGTTGGCAGGAATGCCAACAGTAATTCTCAAAAGAATCCGTGTAGGACTCTAAATACAATCAGTCGTTCAGCGCATGGACACGTGAGCGACGTTTAGCGGTGCTAAGTTAGCACTTCCGTGCCAGGCTGGCACTGCCCGCCGAGCTGCACAGTCGGGAAACAAATGCAGCTAAGAGTAACCTAATGAATTCGACCTAAATATAACGCACAATCAACATAATACCGCTAACAGACTGGCCACGGGAGCAGGTTGATCCTCCTACCACAGTGAGTATGTGAGTGCGTGACACGGCTCACGTGCTCACGTATACGGGCACCTGAGCACGGACTGTTAAGAATGTACTCTTTCGCAGGCATTGAGTTTGAATAGATGCTCGACTAAATAAAATCAGGCCTCTTCAGGCATTCTCTGCTATTATATTTAGTGTGGTGTTATCCCAATCGGAAATCCCTCTTTCAGGAAGACGTTACCCCAATGGCTCCACGCCATGAAGATCACGCAAGATCTTCTTCCTGCGTGCATTCATAATAGCTATCGATCAGGGGATTGGAGATCCTCGATTCAGCTTTTCCATTTCGGCTTTTGTGGGTTCGAAGCATTCGAAGGTATCAGACATGTAGCTCGGTCGAACCGTAATGTAATATGATGCTACTAATAACACTGTCGTTACTCCTCACAACGTCTTCCCGATACCGGTTTGGGTTGTTTGGCAGTTTCACTGACGCTTCAGACTCTACTCCCTTTTAATAATGATGAAACACCTACTGACCTGGTTGATGGCCAGCTATGTTCTGGTAGCTGTAGCTCAGCCTGCTGGCAGATATGTTCACGAAGCACTGGGCTATACATTGACCTACGTAGTCGTCGATTCGAAGGTCGGGATCGAGTTGGATGTCCCGGGCGAGGCTCCCTTCGTGGAGCCGCCGGTCTATCCCCTAAAGGGCGGTGATGATGATGTTTTCACCGTCGAGGGAGCTTATGGCTGGTACCAACAAATTAGCCTGCGCCTCCCGGAAGCGGAAATTGTACAAGGATCTGATCTGATCAAACTGTGGTTCCCATTCGGTTTTCGCATAATAATTGCTCGATTCGAAGACCAACCTATCCGCTTCGACTACAGACCATCCACTTAAGGTTCATTCGCACTATCTCGACTACACATTATTTGTCAGATGTCTCATGGTCCTGATGTAGCTACGCATGTCAAATTGTCCTCTATTTTCGCGGAACATTCCGCCTTGTTCTGTATGATCAGCCATGTATCCCAGCTCTAAGATCAGAGACGGATTTTCAGATGTTCACAATCTCCGATGCATTCTCGTTCGTACTTGACGCTATTATTCTCCCTTCGACTCGGCTGAAGACTCCGACTCCTTCTACCTATCTCATTTACTTGCTTTTTGAGAGGACGTATAACCCCTCAGGGAGAACGACTGGTATATTGGTTCAGTGGCTCAGTCGACCAGCCTATCCAGGTGGGTGAACAATGTTTTTCATACCTCTTCAAACTCATTTGATTTCGTACCTCGCTTCGGTGAAGAGTACTTAGAATGACGACATCACCTTTCGCAGTCAGTAGTCATTACGACGTTATGTTGTACTACAGTATCTTATCAGTGATGGTGTTGATCCGTCCGCGTTCTCTCTGTAAAATATTGAGAGTAGCTGACAGAGCTGTGATGTTAATGGGGTCCAAAGGAGTCCGGATTATACTTATATGATACAGTACTCCGTAGTCTAGTGCATACTTGCGTTTGGAAGTATAATAGATATCGTCCAAATATGTATCATCGACACTCTAATGGTAGACATCGCGATTCCAAAAGGAGTAGCAATCTTCATCGCGCTCGCGTGAGGTGAACCGACTCATCTCATTCATAGATTCCAAATCAGAATATATCAGAATTTCTAATGATCATGAAAATTGGGGTATGGAGTGAAAATAGGGAGTCGTTCCCGATCCCCGGTTTACGATTGACTGAATTAAATCAAGATATCGTATCAGCCGATGGGCTTGGCATCTAAGCTTCTCGACTCAAGCAGGGTATTTAGAGAACCCATTCCGAACTCAGAACACATTCCAGAGTGCAAAACACCAAAATCGCGTTCAGAGAACAGCCCTCCCCCAAACACACTATGGGAAGAGTTCCAGAATAGATTGCGAACGTGCTCAGAAAACTTCAGAATGCGAAAATTCATTTCCGAGAATTTTGTGACGCGCAGAAGGCTACCACGTTCGGCAACGAATCAACGGATTAGCACAAGTCGTGGAAACCGTTTTGTGCAAGCCCCATGATTAAAGTTGCACGTTACGAAAAATTGAAATTTCCATTCCAGAATAGATTCCGAGAACTCATTCTGGGAGCGCGATTCGTTGAACGCGTTTCGGAAGCGATTCCGGAATACATTCCGGAATATTTGGGAATAGAATCCTCTGAACACGATCCGGGAATCGATTCTGAGAATCAATTCTAAGAATACTTTCTGGAATGGATTGCGGTGGAGTTCTCTGAACACCCCGGATATTTCCAAACTTCGGAAAGGCAGCGAAGCTTTGCTAATTTCAAGAAGACGACCCGATTGTCACGTTCGTCCTGATAGGCACGATCTTAGAAGCGCCGACAAGTGAGACGATCCTTATGCTACACGGAGTGACTGGAAAGTCTCTTTTCTTATTATTCATTAGAGGTTTAGCCGGAGTCTACCGTCATTATGCCTGCATGATTGCCTCCGATCGTATTCACCTACCATGGGGAGAACTGCGGGGTAAAGGATTCAGGAAACACCTAGTCATTAGAGTTAGTGAGCTAGTCACCTAGTTCTAGAGAGCAACAACAATGAGGACTACGCCGTTCCGAGCGTTTTTGTCCAAAATTGGGCAGTTGCACAGCCCTAGAAGGTCTCTCATATTGCATAAGGACTCCGCGGCGGAGTCCTTATCCTAGACTAGGAGGTGAGCTGCCAGAAAGAATGACGATTGGGGAACAGCATATTCGAGCCAT